AATGACGGGTTGTTACATCATCCCCCCGTTAGAGGGAATTTCATCCTGAAATTTTAATACAAAAGAAAAGTTTTAGGGGCTGAGGAAGAGGTGTGGATAATTCTATTGCATTTGATCTTCTCGTTTCCACGTGAATTCAGGTCCCCTCTTAGCATTCCATCGGACCTTTACTATTGGAATGCGGCTCTGTTTAGTTCTATTAACTTCCCTATCCATGATCTCGACGGGTTCTTCCACAAAGTTAAGATTTTCATTTAGTTTGATTTCGTCGAGTGGAATTACAAGTGTTTCTTCGGACAAACACTTTTTCAGGTTCGATACGTGAAATACTGGATGTACTTTGTTAAGCTCGATCGGAAGTCGGAGTTTGTAGGCCACTGGACCAACTCTTGAAATGATTTCGAAGGGTCCAATGTACCTAGGATTTAGCTTCCCACATTTTCCAAAGCGTATCATGCCCTTCCAGGGTGAGACCTTCAGTAGTACACGGTCGCCAATCTGAAATTCCAAGGGTTTATGTCTTTTGTCGGCATAACTCTTTTGCCTATCCCTTGAGGATTTCATTCGTTCTCGTATTTGCACGATCTTTTCAGTCGTTTCTCTGATGATCTCCGGACCAGTGAGGGTGCTATCAGGGACTAGACCTTTTGCCAATTGCGTGTCGCCCACTTCCGTCCAGCACAGAGGTGATCTGCACTTACGGCCGTAAAGGGCTTCAAATGGAGCAGTCTTGATACTAGTATGATAACTATTGTTATAAGAGAACTCGACCAAAGGTAAGTGAACATCCCATGCCTTACCAAAGTCGATTACACATGCTCGCAACATGTCTTCCAAGGTTTGGATCGTCCTCTCACTCTGTCTGTCAGTTTGGGGGTGATAGGATGTACTCATGTCCAATTTTGTTCCCATGGAGTTTTGCAATGATTGCCAGAATCTGGAAGTGAATCTGCTGTCTCTATCTGAGATGATAGACATTGGCACTCCATGAAGTCGTACGATCTCTCGGATGTAGGTTCTCGATAGCTTTTCCATTTTATCAGTTTCCTTGATCGGTAAGAAATAAGCGGACTTGGTTAATCTGTCGACGATTACCCAAATAGTATCTTGGCCACCCTGAGTTTTGGGCAGTTTTGTTATGAAGTCCATGGAAATCTGCTCCCATTTCCACTCAGGTATTTCAGGTTGTTGGAGTAGACCTGAGGGTTTCTGGTGTTCTATTTTTATCTTGGCGCAAGTCAAACACTTGCTCACATAGGTAGCAATCTCCGCCTTCATGTTTGGCCACCAGTAGAGTTGCTTGAGATCTAGATACATCTTGTCTGACCCTGGGTGTACGGAGTATGGAGTCTTGTGTGCCTCGCTCATAACTACCTCTCTGAATCCACCAAACATGGGTGTCTATATTCGGTTCATGAGGTAGCGTGCTCTGTCACTGATATGTGCATATTTAGTATGTATTAAGTAAAGTTTTTTTATTCATACATTAGCTAAATTATCGCATATTATGGACAAAAGGTACTTAAAAGTGTTTAAATTATGTTTTTCAGTCCAAAGATGAAGCTCGGAAGCAAAAGGAAGCAGGAGAAGCGGTTAGGAGCTCGAGAATGGAATGAAGAAGAAAAACACTAAAAAAGGCATCCACTCGTCGAGTCAGATAGCCTACTCGATGAGTCCGGTCGAGGAATCAGAAGGATAATGACTCGGAATTCCAGATAGTTATCGCAATACGGGGAATGTGAGAGGGACTCGACGAGTCAAATCGCTTATTTAAAGATAACTCCACAGATCGATTAGGGAGAGTTCTAGGACGATTCAGAATTGTTTTGCTGCAATTAAGAAGCCAGAAGAACCCTAGAAGTCGACAAAGGAAGCTAGAATTCAATTCCGGGAGTAATTAAGGCACAATTTCATCATTCTACTTATTCTTTTGTTTCATCAATATGATTAAGCAACTTGAACTTGTTTGTTTGATGTTATTTACTTTAATTATGAACTAAAATCTTTAGACTTCTGTTTGGGGATACAAAGTTGACAATATGGTTTGATTGATTGGTAGGATTAATTCCAAGTTGGTGAATTTTTGTTATTTTAGCTTGCTAAAGAACCTTGTGTATGAATAATAATTAATTTTCTGTTAATAGGAAGATAATTGATCAACATGAACATCTATTGATTATCAACCTCATATGATATGTGACCACTATACTATATGTCTAGGATTAATGAATATGAAACTAGAATTAATAAGAAAATTGAGTAAATTCATGTGCAAGCTTGTAAGATGACCATCAAACAAGAGGTTAATTAAGAATAATAGATTAATTAGCTATTGCAAGTCTAACTTAACCCGAATAATTAATCTAGTAAATATAATTAAATTAAGCAATTGGCCACTGTTTGAGTTAGTTTATTTGCTAAGGATTAGGGTAGTGAACATGAACCTAATCACTTGAATCGGTAACCAACGAAAGAATTAATCCATTGCACTATTACCTTGAAATCAACCATAGAGTTAACCAAGTTGAACTAAACAGAAGTTCCTTTCCAATTATTGAATCTAGTTAAATTGTTATTTTCTAGTCTTAAATTAGTTATAGTTAGTAAGTTTTTAGTCTTGTAAAACTAGAGAAAAACCCCTATTTCTTAATCAACTTAGATAGAATTAGTTTTTAATTTAATTTGTCGTTCCCTGTGTTCGATACCCTGCTTATTTAGCTATACCACAATTGATAGGTTCACTGCCTTTTGTGTGTTATTTGATAATTAAAGTAGGTTTAAAACTAAGTGAGTTTTACACACATCAAGTTTTTGGTGCCGTTGCCGGGGAACGGTTCTAAAATTAGCATTAAAATTCTAATTCAATCGATCCTTTGTGTAAGATTCATCTTACACAAAGTTAATTTCTGTTTTTTTTAGGTAAAAAAAAAACCCGATTTTACCTTGGACTCGCCGAGTGCAATCGCCCAGACTCGGCGAGTACGACGATGAATCAGATTTAATTTTTTGTTCCCCTTTTACGCGTTTTCTGTTTTGTTTGCAGTTGTTTCATGACTCGAGGATCTGATACGCCTCTGGTTCCCCCTCTTGAAGATCCGGAAACCGCATTAAGAAGAAACAAAGGCAAAACCGTTGGAGAACCCACTTCTTCAAGGAACTCACCACTCAAAAACCTCAAATCCGTTTTTAGCAAGAAAAGGAGCAGCAAATCAGGAGCATCCAGTGCATCGTTGACAATCGAGGACCCGATTCAAAAAGACACCGACTACAAGACCGAGGAAGAAAACGAGCCCACATACGAGCACACATCCGAGTTTGAAGACAATTTAGCCACCGCTATGGCTAATATTGACGAAATCCCCATGGGGGAATGGAAGAAGAGGATGCGTGATGACACCGGCTCGGGACTTGTGCAACCCGCAATTCCCGCTACCGCTACTTTTGAACTAAAGGGCCATATTGTCGCTCAACTCAAGGAGATCCCTTTTCACGGGAGAGATCACGAAGACGCCTATAAGCACTTGGATGAAGTAAATGATGTGGCAGATTACTTCAATGTACCCAATGTGCCTCGCGAGATCCAGCTTCTTCGCATGCTTCCTGTCACATTTAAAGGAGCTGCAAAAGATTGGTTAAAGTCACTCCCTCCCGGATCGGTCACCACATGGGCCAAGATGAAAGAAGAGTTCATAGACCATTTTTGCCCACCTTCCAAGATAGCCAAGCTAAAGAAAGCCATTGCCAACTTCGAGCAACAACCCGGAGAATCTCTTTATGAAGCTTGGGAAAGGTACAAGAGCCTACTTAGAAATTGCCCACACCATGACCTTAATAGCCAACAAGAGGTCTCCATCTTTTATGATGGAGTTAATGTCACCACAAGGCAACTACTCGATTCACAAGGCCCGCTCACCAGAAAGCCGCCTCCGGAAATAAAGGAATTAATTGAAGAATTCTCCAAGCATTCTAGAGAATACCACAATCCGAGGAATGAAGTGAGTCGTGGAGCAGTGAACTCGGTGAACGATAGCATGGCGGTAATAGCTAAACTCGATAGCCTAGACCGAAGAATGACGAAAATGGATCAAACAATCCATGCTATTAGGGTAGGATGCGAAAATTGTGGCGGCCCCCACCTCACTAAGGATTGTGATCGAGACGAAAATGGAAATAAAAAGGCTCAAGTATTCTATTCCAGTGGCGATAGATACGATGAAGACTGGAGGAAACCGAAGAAGGAATGGCTCCCATACGAAGAATATAAAAAGGCTAAGGAGGAGAAATACAAACAGAGGGAGAGGGGATTCTATCAAAAGGAAGAGCCGGTGATAAAAAAGAAGGCAAATTTAGAAGATATGCTCACAAGGTTCATAACCGCGTCCGAGAAAAGACACAATGATCATGATGTAGCAATGCAAGAAACCAGAAACATGTTGAGGAATCAGCAAGCATCCATTCTCAACATTGAGAAACAGCTGGGACAGCTTGCACATCAAGTGAATGAAAGAAGACCGGGCCAACTTCCGAGCAACACCGAACCCAATCCAAGAATGGAGAACGTAAGCGTAATAACCTCCAGCAGTGAAGAAAAGTTTACAGAAGCACTAAGGATCTCCAAGAAGAAGGAAGAAAAGGTAGAAGAATCGGAGCCAGCAAACCCGACCCGACTCGCCGAGTCACTCCATTGGACTCGACGAGTCCATGCGAAATTGAAACACCTCATTTCTTCGAAACCTTATAAGCCTCCACTGCCATACCCAACCAAAGCCATGCCTGCAGAAAAAGTAGAAGCATACAGAACCTTCATGAATCATGTTAACGCTCTACAAGTTAATGTGCCATTTGTGGAAACAATACTTCAAACGCCTAAATACTTCAACTTGCTTAAGGGCCTTTTTGCTGCTAGGAAGGATTTGGCTGAAGTCGCAGAAGTCTTGATGAGTGAGCTACCTAAAAAGAAGGGTGACCCAGGAAATATTGTGCTTCCGTG